CTGTTCGACTAATTTATAGGGATCATTAAGTCTAATTATTAAAGGTAAGTTCATGTTTGCCTTGCAATACAATTCCAAATGTTCTGGTACTGTTTATGTAGGTTTATCATTATGAATTGTGGATTGTTTGATACAGTTTGTAGACTTCAGTTAGGCATCCTTTAATTTCTAAGTGTATGAAGCAGCATTATTTGCTTATTCATGTATCTACCTGTTCGCTGCTAGATCTTTTCAGGTCACATTGTCCTTATTCTGGACTGTTATTAGACATTGTATAAATAGTTATGAAAAGGCCTTTTGCATTTTGTGAAAGGAAATCTAGCTGGGATTGCCATCTTTCTGTTTTTTTTATATTTCTATTGATTTATAAATGATAGGGCAAGAATAAAACAGCTTTAGAAAACCCAGTGCAGGATGCAGTGTAATGCAATAACAGACTATTTTCGAATGACAAGGACAAAGAGAACAAATTAATACATAAAGCTAAGATAAGAAACAATACAGAATTAAGTTTTGCATAAACATTTAGGGGGTTATTTACAAAGCTGCCGAAGGCAGCCGAGTGAGTAACCCAGCTGAAGTGAAGTGAGCCGTTCGGATATTCACTTCTGGCTTGTACGGCTGATTGCAGCCGTACATCCGCTAAAATCAGCCATACATCACTTGCCTTCGGCTGACCCGAAGTGTAGAAGGAGTTCGACTCAGCCAATCCAACTTCTGGATCGGATGAGCCGAAGCTCCGGCAGCTCACTCGCTGCCATTCACCCCTACTCTCCTAGGGGCCGAACGGCAGTAAGTGACTAGCCGAATGCCGCCAAGCGGCATTTGGCTCGGTTATTCTGCTCGGTACCACCGAGGTACCAAGAAGAATAGAAAATAAGTGACAATTTTAAAAAGGGAAAACAAAAGGTGAAATATTGTTCTAAAAATGTAGGAATTTTTTTTTTAATTTAAAAGTTTAAAGAAAATAAAAAAGAGAAAATGAATTTTTTTTTAAAAATGCAGGCAAAAGAAAAACAATTGGGCTCAGCCCAACTGTTTCCTAATGGCCGCAATCTGCCAGAGTCTTCTAGCAGGTCCCGGCCAATGAATAACAACTGGGCGGAGCCAGCCATGATGGCACGGCCGGCTCCGGCCAGTTGTTGTTTAATGGCACATCAATATCCCCAGGTCATTTGGGGATGCTGAGCTGTCATTACAACCGAGCGGAGCAAGCCGTGAGATCACGGCTGGCTCCACCCAGCTTTCATTTGCATGGAGATCGGTTAGTCGACCTTTCTCCATGCTTCAGCTGTCACTTCGGCTCAGTCGAGCCAAAGCATATGCCTTCGACTTGGCTGGATCGCTCAGCCACTTTTGGCTGCTGTTCGGGCTATTGTGAATAGCCAATACAGCCGATGGGTTTGCCGAAGCTACTGCTGTATCCGTTTGTCTGTCAGAAAAGGGGCTAGGAAGGAACAAAAGAAAGAGAGAGAGAGAGAGCGAAAAGAAAGGAAGGAAGAAAATACACTTTAAAGTAATACTAAAGCCTAATGCTTTTTGTCATAAGCACTGGTATGGCACTGATAAGCAGCGGACAATAAATGCTTTTGAAGTTCAAAAACATTCAATTGGAATCTTTGTCCATGCAGCCTGTGGGTTCCTGTGTGCTGCTTCCCTGGATCTCTCGGCTGGGAGCTCATCATCACTTTGTTGAAAGTCCCTCTGATCCCCTTTCCTCGGAACTACAGTACAGTACATGCCTGTGACGGACTGAATCGTCACTGGTGCGGTTGGAGGAGCCTGGGGGCTAGCCTCCTTCCAACTGACTATGGACCCAGAACTATGGAGACCCCCCTCGGACCTCTTGGGGTTACAATGAACCATTCTACCAGGTTTATGTGTGGGGGGATGTACTGTACATGTTCCCTGGCATTACATTTGGATGGCCCTGTGTGTATTATAGGTACAGGCTGTGAATCCAGGAGCACTGAAGGGGGATAATTCTGGAAAATGAACTGTTACAGTTTATTGGCCCCTTTTGTTGTATTGTGTTGATGATGGGATTAGGATAGCTGATTCTAGGAGTAGCTGACTCCAGGTGTAGAGGAGTAAATCACACTATGATACACTCAGGAGATAATCCCATCACATGTGTCTCCACTCCCCCTATTCATTCATTAAGGCATTGGGGAGGGGGAGTGGAATTTGGATGGCCCTGTGTGTATTATAGGTACAGGCTGTGAATCCAGGAGCACTGAAGGGGGATAATTCTGGAAAATGAACTGTTACAGTTTATTGGCCCCTTTTGTTGTATTGTGTTGATGATGGGATTAGGATAGCTGATTCTAGGAGTAGCTGACTCCAGGTGTAGAGGAGTAAATCACACTATGATACACTCAGGAGATAATCCCATCACATGTGTCTCCACTCCCCCTATTCATTCATTAAGGCATTGGGGAGGGGGAGTGGATGTTTGCATGCTGTTCATGTTTGATTGCGTTATGTGTTTAGACTTCTTGGACTGTATATATACTGAGCTGGTCTTCAATAAAGCAGATCCCTGTTGGAACTTACATACAGCCTGCCTGGTGTTTGTTCTGAGCTGGATT